AATTTGATTATTTCCTGGCGTCTGCTCCTCCTGGGGGAGTTTGCTTCTTTTTGTTCTAGAACATTCAGCTGTGCTATTAATTCTCTAGTATGACTGTTCTCCAGTTTTTTCATGTGGGCACTTAGTGCTATAAACTTTCCTCTCAGCACTGCTTTCAAAGTGTCCCATAAGTTTGTGTATGTTGTGTCTTCATTCTCATTGAAATCGAGGAAGTCTTTAATTTCTTTTTTTATTTGTTCCTTTACCCAGGGATGGTGCAATTGTGCATTGTTCAATCTCCATGAGTTTGTAGGGTTTCTGCGATTTGTGTTATTGTTGAATTCTAATGTTAATGCATGGTGGTCTGATAAGATGCAGGGGGTTATTCCAATTTTTTGTATCTGTGGAGATTTGCTATGTTTCCTATTATGTGGTCAATTTTAGAGAAGGTTCCATGTGGTGCCGAGAAGAAGGTATATCCCTTTGTATTTGGGTGGAATGTTCTATAGATGTCTGTTAAACCCAGTTGGGTCATAACTTCTATTAATTCTTTTGTTTCTTTGTTAAGTTTCTGTCTGGAGGTCCTATCTAGCGGTGAGAGCGGAGTGTTGAAGTCTCCTACTATTAGTGTGTGAGATTTTATGTGCATTTTGAGCTTTAGTAATGTTTCTTTCACGAATGTAGGTGCCTTTGTATTTGGGGCGTAGATATTTAAAATTGAGACTTCGTCTTGATGTATTTTTCCTTTGATGAATATGAAGTGCCCTTCTTCATCTCTTTTGATTGATTTTAATTTGAAGCCTAATTTGTTAGATATTAGGATTGCTACGCCCGCTTGTTTCTTGGGGCCGTTTGATTGGAAGATCTTTTCCCAGCCCTTTACTCTGAGATAACGTCTGTCTTTGGTGTTGAGATGTGTTTCTTGTATGCAGCAGAAGGAAGGGTTCTGTCTTCGTATCCATTCTGCTAGTCTGTGTCTTTTTATAGGTAAGTTGAGGCCATTGACATTGAGGGATATTAATGACCATTGATTGGTGATCCTTGTTTGCGCTTGATTTATTGTTAGTGAAGTTATTTTGTGTAGTTTCTCCTCCCTTTTTCTTTTAGTGTTTTGTAAAGTATGATTCTATATTGCCTGTGTCTTTGTGAATGTAGTTATCTTCCTTGGCTCTAGGTTTTCCTTCTAGCATTTTCTGTAGAGCTGGATTCATGGATACGTATTGTTTAAATCTGGCTTTGTCATGGAATATTTTGTTTTCTCCATCTATGGTAATTGAGAGCTTTGCTGGATATAGTAGTCTGGGCTGGCATCCTTGTTCCCTTAGCGTTTGTAGGACATCTGACCAGGATCTTCTGGCTTTCATCGTTTCCATTGAGAAGTCAGGTGTAATTCGGATAGGTCTGCCTTTATATGTTACTTGGCCTTTTTCTTTAGCTGCTCTTAATATTTTCTCTTTACTCTGTAGGTTTGATGTTTTGATTATTATATGGCGAGGTGACTTCTTTTTCTGGTCAAGCCTATTTGGTGTTCTGTAAGATTCTTGTACTTTCATAGGCATATCTTTCTTTAGGTTAGGGAAGTTTTCTTCTATGATTTTGTTGAATATGTTTTCTGTACCTTCAAGTTGAAGTTCTTCACCTTCTTCTATACCTATTATTCTCAGGTTTGGCTTCTTCACGGTGTCCCATATTTCCTGAATATTTTGTGTTAAGGATTTGTTGGTTTTGAGATTTTCTTTGGTTGACGATGCTATGTCCTCTAATGAGTCTTCAACACCTGAGATTCTCTCTTCTATCTCTTGTATTCTATTGGTGATGCTTGCATCTGTAATTCCAGACCGTTTACCGAGCTTTTCTATTTCCAGCATCCCTTCATTCTGTGTTTTCTTTATCGTTTCTATTTCAGCTTTCAATCCTTCAACTGTTTGAGCTGTTTCCTTAATTTTCTTGGTTGTTTTTTCTTGGTGCTCTTTAGATTCTTTGAGAGATTTGTTTATTTCTTGAATTTTTCCCCCATTTCATGGATTTTTTTGTTTGTTTTTTCTTCTATTTCTTTAAGGGATTTCCTCGTTTCTTCTTTGAGGCTCTCCATCATCTTCATGAAATAACTTTTAAGGTCTGTCTCCTCTTCTTCATCTATGTAGTGCTTTTCAGATCTTGCTGGTGTTGGATCCCTGGATTCTGGTGGGGTCGTGTTGGTGTTTCTATTGCTGAGTGATCTCTTATTCTGTCTTCTTCCCATCTCTTCTTCCAGTGGGTGCTGGTGGGGGCTTTCTGTTTCCACTGGTCTCCTTCCTTACTGCAGCTGAAGCTGAAGCTGGCCTCGCTGGGGTTGGGGTCTTGGAGGGGCTGATCTCTTTCCTGAAGCTGGGCTCGCTGGGTTGGTGTCTTGGAGGGGCTGATCTCTTTCCTGTGTGGGCGGCTCTTCTGAAGCTGGGCTCGCTGGGTTGGAGTCTTGGAGGGGCTGATCTCTTTCCTGTGTGGGCGGCTCTTCTGGAAGCCGGGAGCGGCCCCGAAGATGGAGGGGGATGGGTGATGGGCAGGTGGTCCCAGCCGGGGATCCAATCTCACCTGAAGCTGGGCTTGCTGGGTTGGGGTCTTGGAGGGGCCTGTGTGGGCGGTTCTTCTGAAAGCTGGGAGCGGCCCCGAAGATGGAGGGGGATGGGTGATGGGCAGGTGGTCCCAGCCGGGGATCCAATCTCACCTGAAGCTGGGCTTGCTGGGTTGGGGTCTTGGAGGGGCCTGAAGCTGGGCTCGCTGGGTTGGGGTCTTGGAGGCGCTGATCTCTTTCCTGTCTAGGAGGTAATTTATAATCATTTTTGTTTCTTATAAGAATTTTTATCTTTAGTTTTAATTAAAACAATGCTGGTATGGAAAATAGTCTTTTATTAGTTAATATGCAGATGATTTATATTAAAATTCCCACCTTTAATGAATGTCTTTTAATAGCATTTAACTGTATATGTTAAATAAAATTTGACAAATGATGTTAATTAACAGATTATGCTATGTCCTTATGGGTAGGTTGGTAACACATTTTTCTGGCTTCTATTATGGCCATTTCTTTATGGTATGTCTATACTGCCCTTCTTGCCTTCTCTTTACAACTTGTGACTTACAATTGAAGATAAAAGCATTGGTGATCTTAAATTCTTGCCTCCCTCAGTGATCCTGTTGATATCGTTCCTGTCTCTTCTCTTTCTGAGAAGGGTTTCACACCTGGAGCAGAGGCACACCCAGACAACTTTGGTTTTCATTCTGCTTCGGTTTTTCTCTGAGACACTCCCAACTTTACATACCATTCTTTTATCATGCTTTCAATAGTTGTTCCCTGTGCACTTTCTCATTTCAAACTACTGAATGTCAGAGAATACTTTTGAGACTTTCTCCTTTGAGCATAAATGTGTGTAAGTTAAAGCACTCTTTCTCATTTTCTGTTTTACTCAGGGTAAGTTGAGGGCATCTCTTTGCACCACAGGGCTGAACATATTTTGATATCCAGGATTTGCTGTCTGGAGATGTGTTTTAACTCAAATATCCCAGATATTATATTGTTGGACACTTTGTCGAGGTTGTGATCACTACTCCAAAATCAAAAGAAATACTGTTTCAACAGCAAAGCATGAGTGTTCATATATAAGCAGAATGCATGAAATGTATTAAGATCTCCTGTCATGTCATATCAACTTATATTTTTGCATAAACTTCTTGTCAAAAATCACACAATCAATAAAACCTTCCTATTTTTAAGATTTTTTTGATTTGTGGCATCTTAGGTCATTCCACTCATTTGCTGAAAGTAGCTTGCTCTTGAGAGTGAACTTTAATCTGGTCCTTGAATCTTTGCAGATGATCTGATCTTTAGGTATAAAAGTTGGCAGTTGGCATTGACTCAACCTCTGTAGCTTTCTTCAAAGTCACTGTCCTGTGTCTCTTTGTAGAACTGCCTGTCATATTCTGGAACGGCAACGCTGTTCAAAAAGGTTAATAGTCCTAGAATTCTGATTAGAATATCACACACATAATACATAACTAAAATTATTTATAAATGTAAGCAGACATTGGAATCCATCCTCTAGGATGTACAGAATTTCCTAATCATATCTAGAAGAGACATTTGGTTCATTGAGAGTTAGCAGTTTAGAGAGTTTCCAGAAGGCAAAATCTCAGTTGATTCCTAACGGTTATCATAGAAGGCATAAAAGGAAGACTATGTGGGAATGGTGATGAAAAAGACAGCATCTATTTCACAAAGCCTAGCAAAGGAAGGGGTGTTGTGTTTTCTGAAGTGCGTGGTGTCAAGAACATAACTGAAAAATATGTGAAAGGTGCAGATTAACCAATGCATTCCAATATATTTTAAGAAGCAAGGAATATTTTTAAGAAACTGATGAGCTATGGACTTATTTTAGCAGGGTTTAAACATGGCCTATACAGAGAAACCTGGCACTGTGAGTTGAGAAAACAAACTAAGAAAATCAAGCATAAAAGGAGGAAAACCAGGTCACTACTGAAATAATTTCACCCAGTAAATGTTGTCATCAGAGAGTATTGTGGGTACAAAGATCTAGAGAACAAGGTCTAACATCAGGAGAAACAGTTTAATGAAGAGACAAGTTCATTAGGACCAATGCCTCAGGAAGGGTCACCCTATTGCAGTCAACACTCATTCCTATATATGGACAGAATGTGCAGCCCATTTACTAATAGGCCACTTAAGCATGGGCAAGGCAGGAACAGGTTCCAGTCCAATAAAGAATGGAAAAAGGAACCAAGGTCTAACATCAGTTATACATAAAGGAAAAAGAATGCAGGATTTCAACCTCACAGCCCATACTCCAACACTGTAACAACTACTGACTTCCACGTTTTCTTGTATCACAACCATCACAGACCTAAGGCAACTATCATCATCAACAGAGAAGAATTTCTTAGACTTACTTATTAACTGAGCAGCTCTCTGGTCATTTTTCACAGTGGCACAATTAGTAATCAGTTCTCCTTTCCTCACACCCACAGCTATGGGTAACACTGTGGCATGGGTTTTTCACTCACATAGGCATGTCCTGTTTTTTAAATTATCTATTTATGTGTGTAATTCTTTATACTGTTATTCTCTTGCAGGCTCACCCATAATTTGAGAGATGGTGAATGAATACAAGAAAATTGTTCTTCTTTCAGGATTACAGTCTATCAGTGACTACCATTTCAGAGTAGTTAAGTCCTTACTGATTCATGACCTACAACTGAATAAGAAAATGCAAGATGATTATGACAGAATTAAGATTGCTGACTTAATGGAAGAAAAGTTCAAAAGTGATGCTGGATTGAGCATACTGATAGAACTGTGTCAAGATATTCCAGATCTTGGATACCTTGCTGATACACTTAGAAAGGAGATGGCAAAAGGTAATAGGGGAGCACCCTGAATGTCCACCCTTTATCTACCCTTCCAAAACTTTCTAGCTCCTCGCAGTGTTTATGGCTGATATGTCCCTTTCCCAGTGTATGCTCTGGGACCTATAGAATGGCAGCACTTCAGATCTTAACAAGTTGCTGGAAACTTAGGCAACTTCTTTCCTACAAAGAATTCTAATACATTTGGAGGTAGATGTCTTTGGGGTGAGTGTAGGAAAGAAAAACAAAAGTTTCTTAGAGAAACAAGAGCTTCTAATACAGTGGAATGGATAGAAAATTACAAAGCAAGACTTTATTATCACAATTAAAAATAATTAGGTCAATTAACAAAATTCCAAATTAAGATGCACCATCATTAACACATTTTATGGCAGCAAGTGTGAGTCAATATTTAAGTAGAACCCGGAATCTAAGAGATGTGAAGTTACTAGGTTCAAAATACATGAAAAAAGAGAGAGTGGGCATGTTGCCCCACACTGTGAGCTTAGCACTTGGTTGGAGCAGAGACATCTCCAGTTTAAGACTAGCCTGGTGTTCATGCTGAGATCTTACACCAGAAAATAAAAGGGACCCAAAAGGCAAGCAAATGAAGTTCACTATTAATCCATTGTCACATCTCAGATTAGGTCACCATATCTTCCTCTGTTTCTCTAATTTGGGATGAACTGCAGAAGGTAAGTTGTCATAACATCATGCAAATTTTAGATTTCTTTTTTCAAAATAAATTTATTTATTTATATATGTATATATTTTACATCCCAGCCACAGTTTCTCCTCCAAGTCCCTCCCCAACCCAATTGCCCCTCTGTTCCCACCCCACAATGGCAGGTCTCTGATGAGTATAAACAAAACATGACATATGAAGTAGCACTAAGACTAAACACCTCCCCATGTATTAAGACTGGACAAGGTGACTCAGTGTGAGTAATAGAATCCCAAATGCCTATAAAAGGGCCAGAGACAGTCATTGCTCTCACTGTTAGGAATCCCACAAGAGGACCAATTATACAACTGTAACATATATGCAGAAGGCCTAGGTCAGTACCATGCAGACTCCCTGGTTGTTGGTTCTGTCTCTGTGAGCCTGGGTTAGTTGCTTCTGTGGCTTTTTGTGGTGTCCTTGACACCCCCTGGCTCCTACAATCCTTTCTCCCTTCTCATCTGTAGGATTCCCAGAGCTCAGCTAATGTTTGACTGCATTTGTTTCCATCAGTTACTGGATGAAGCCTCTCTGATGACTGGGTTAGGCAACAATCTAGTCACAGAAGATGGTATTCAGGCTACATAACCACTATTGCTGGGATTCTTACCTGAGGTCATCCTTGTGGATTCCCTTGCTCCAGCTTTTTATCTGATCCCAAAATGCTCCCTCTTTCCAGAAGTCCCTTTTAGTACTCTCCCCCTATGGCCCCGAACCAGATTGCTCATGTTCCAATCCCCACCTGCTCTCATTCTACTTACAAAATCTCTTCTATTTCCCTTCCCAGAAGGATCTAGGTGTCCCCCATAAATCCTCCTTGTTACTTAGTCTTTTTTGAGTCTGTAGATTGTAGCACAGTTATCCTTGATTTTACAGCTAATATCCACTTATGAGTGAGTACATACTATATTTGTCTTTCTATTCCTTAAAGTAAACTACAGATTAAAAGGGCTGGGATAGGGCTTGGCTGCTTTACATACAAGTCCCATACAAGGGAAACCTATGCCCATTGCACATGAGAAAAGCAAGGAAACCCAGATGCAGTTCCTGTGTCTGTGTTGTTTGTTGGTGGCAGAGGTAAGAAGGAAGTAGACTGAGACACAAACAAGAAGTATACTGAGATGCAACAGGAAGTATTCTGAAACACAAGCAGAAAGTATGCTGAGACATAAGCAGGAGGCAGAAGAGCACTGGATGGACTTCAGCTGTCCACAACAGGACAGCTTCATTCCGTTTTTCATCTTTTCTTTATTTCATCAGTTAAAAATAAGAGCCAAAGAAAAGTCAAACACACTTCAAAAAGACCTAAGCACAATGAATCCTGTACTTCCCACCTGAGCTCCAACACAAAGGAAGATTTGGAACTAGAACCAACTATGAAGATGCCTTCGTTAGAGGTATGCTGTCTAAGATCTCACTAAGCTTGCTCTCCTCAGAAACTTTCTCTGAGTACTTACTCTAAGCCCTTTACCTGTACCAAGGGCTTAGCAGAATTAAGTGAAGAGTCAGCAAATTCATGATTTCTGGTCACTCATTTTGTTAGGACTGCAGGACTACTTTATTAAAATATAATTTCCTGAATCAAAACTATAAAATCATTACTTACTTTGTGAATGTGTACTCTGTGTGGGTGTGGGTGTGTGTGCTTTACATACATGTGTATGTGGTTTATATACATGTGTGTATGCATTTGTTGATACAAAAGGAGGACTTCAAATGTTTTGTGTGTGTGTGTGTGTATGCGGTTTACATATTTGTGTGTGTGGTTTGCTTAGTTGTGTGTACATGCATTAGTTGATACCAAAGGAGGACTTTAAGTACTCTGCTTAACTCCCCCCTCCTTTTCCCTTTGAGAGAGAGTCTCTCCCTGAAGCTGGGGCTATGCAAGTTTCAGAGACCATCCTACTCGGGGGTAGCCCAGATTTTTCTATGGTTTCTGGGATCCAATCTTAGGCCCTCATATATGTGTAGCAAGTACTGTTGTCCCCCGAGTCATCTATTCTCTTCAGATGCTCTTCGCTCCCTTTAAAAACATTTGCAGAAGTAGCAGCCAATTTAAGGATATGACATCCCAAAGTCTGTTAAAGGGCATCAAACATCATCTTGTGCTTTCTAAATCTAAGCCTAGAGTTCTCCCATCACCAAATGTGATTAGAGGATTGACATAAATGAAATGTTTCTATTCCTGATTGAGATGATCCTGTGATCTTCTCTGGCCATTTGTTCAGAGTATTCAGTTCTCAATGAATCAATAGAATCAGAACCCAGTAACACGGAGTGAATTATCTTGGTATTAAAATTATTATTCTTCAAACAATATTAAAAACCATTGTATGGGCATTGTATGGGATGGGGATAAAACTCCTTAGTGGAATCCAGTTTTGCTCACATGAGACACCAATTCCAATCTTTAACACACAAAAGAGAAAATCAGCCCTTACCAGTTGAAAATGCATGCATTTTTTTCTTTGAGAAAAAGGGAGATGAAACTACAAAAACTGAAGACTCCTCAATTCCAACATATAATTAAAAATCAGTCATTATGTTATCAAATGCTTCTATGAAGACCTCAGTGAACAGCTTCTGCTCTTGACAAGATATATACTGTTAAGAAATAATTTATGATCTCAACAAACTATATATAGTAGTTAGATTTCATCAGCATTATCACATAATTGTGTTATTGATCACTTAAAACATGTTATCTTTACATATATTTAAATGAGTTTTGATTGGGCTTCCTGTATATTAGGCAAGCATTCTACCAGTAGAGCCACAACATGATTAACAAAAATATTAAATCTATGCTCCTTTCTTTCAAGATATCCCATACTTCTTCACAATGGCTAAAATCTAACTTAGGTATTTAATGTAAATATTCATCCCTCTAGTGTACATTGTCAAACTCTGACAGCTGTTTATAAATGTTTGATTTATTTTATTGCATTTTACAATTACACTAAAAATCTCTATATGGTCAATGTTTTTCATTGTAAATTTTAGGGTTCAGTTACTTGGAATGCTAAAATGTGCACATTTAATTTTCTGTCATCATCAATGATGATAGTAATATAATTAAAAACAAATATAAGCTTGGAGAAAAGGCCATTAATAATCCTTTTTGCTTGCATGGTATCAGCTTGAATGACATCATCTGTTTTCTTTTTTCTGTTTTTTGGAGCAAAGACTTCTTAATGAATATATTTTACAAATACACCAACGGATCAAGCAATGCTGCCTTCACTAGATGTGATTCTGGGCAAAACGTCTGCACACTCCTTTATAACTAGAGTTGCAGAACCTTTCATTTTCCCCTTATTGTTTATTATGATGCCTGCATTATCCTCAAAATGAAGAAAGCCCCATCTTTTCATTGTTGAAATACCACTGCTGCATTTATCTTTTTTCTTCCTTCTGGTCACAGAAGACTTACACCCTAAGGGATCAGAAACACAAAGAAAACAGGAATAGTTGACATGATAGTCATATGAAAGCTTTCACATACTTTCACTTTTATTTTTTTACTTTTCACCTTTGAAGCTAAATTTAAGATCTTTTAAGGCGTATGCCTCATATAAGTTTAGGCAAATATATTAAAAGGCACTAAAATATGTATGGCTGGCTTAATATACAAATTATATGATGGAATTGTGGAGTCTTGTTTTTGTAGTTTGTGTGTGTGTGTGTGTGTGTATTCATATATACAGCAGTTTCATTTAACCAAATACAAAATGAGTATTTAAACGATCTTTACCTAAGCAAATATTTAAATGAGTTCTATCTAGTGGAGAGTAGGAAAACACTGTATTAGCTGAACTATATCTCATTTTCCAAAATCTTACCTCTGTGGTCCATTATTTCAGGTTACTTGTCACACATTTAAAATCAGATCATCAGAAAGGGCAGTGGCAAAGATTCCTGTGTACTGACAAAGTAGACAATTTGGAGCAGTTTTGTTACAAAGCTGAGGGAAGAAAAACTCATAAGTGGGAGCCAATCTTGCCTATACAACAACTATGAGTTAAATAGGACCAGGGTACCTTTGACCAGTTTTATAAGACATGCAGAGTGAGATTCCAAACTAAACCAGTGATTTAGTGCCCAAGTTTCTAAGAGACATTCTGATTACCACGGGAAGAGGTTAGGTACTGGGGGTCTCTAAGATATGTGATCTATAATACCCCCTGCAGCCCCCAGGGAAGGGGGAACTGGTGAAACAGAATTATTTTTAAAGGGAGAAAATGTGAAAATGTATTTGATTTGATTTTTGAAAACCATTTATCAGGACACAAAGAATTTTAAACATCTGTTTCCCTTCAGAAACATGAAGACACAATCACCAAATCACCTGACGTCAGGACAGCAAAGTCATTCCAGAGAGCGCATAAACTTCCAGAACTTTCTGCAACCAACAGATGCCCAACTGTGAGAGAGCCACAGACTCCTCAGGAGCTTCCAACAATAGCCTTCAGCAGCCTCCGAACTCCGCTGGGGCCTCCAGAAATATCACACACCACATTGACAACATCGCGGGGTCCTTCAGCACCATTTTCTGCCAGTGACCAGACTTCTCAGGAGTCCCCGGTGACAGCCTCCAGCAGCATCCACACCACTCAGGTAACTTCATCACTTTCGTACAGTCACCAAGATCCTCTGAAGTCTCCAAAAACAGTGCCCAGCTCTGTCCTAACCCTTCAAGCAAGCCCAGTGACTGTGACCAGCAATGCCCAGGCTTCTTGGACACCTCAAGCAGCAGTGCACAAAAGTGTCCAGGCCTCCCGGGTGACTCCAGCAACAATGACCAGAGGTTATAAGATTCCCCGGGTGTCTGCAACAACAGTATCTGGCAATTACAATACCCCTCAGGTCACCTCAGCAACCATGCCCAGCAGCAACCAGGCCTCTCTGGTGACTCCAGCAACAACGACTAGATGTTATAAAATTCCTCAGGTGTCTAAGGCAACCATATCCAGCACTTTCAATACACCCCAGGTCACCCCAGCAACAGTGCCCAAAAGCAACCAGGCCTCCCTGGCAACTTCAGCAATAGTGCCCCACAGTGTCCAGCCCTTTCAGGCAACCCCAGCAACAGTGACCAGTAGTTGTAAGAGCCCTCCGGTGTCTGCAACAACAGTTTACAGCAGTTACAGTGCCCCCCTTGTCCCCCCAGCAACAATGCCCAGCAGTTTTAAGTCTCCTCCACAGTCTCCAGCAACGCAGCCCTGCAACAGTAGTACTCATCAGCGGCCTTTGGCAAATGCACTGGGCAGTTCCTCTGCTACTTCATGGTCTCCAGCAATACCACTGGAGGTAATGATGGCTATTCTCATACATATAATGACAACAGAATGAACACAGATAATTTCCCTTAAGCACCCTATGATATATGACGTTTTATTTTAATGAATCACTTGTTTTATCATATGATTTGAGCTCCTTCTCTAAATTCATTTTGTACTGTTCTTATGTTCTGCTCCTTTAAGAAAATGTATGATTCAGTGAGCACCTGAGTACCCCTGTTCCTTAAAGGGTACAATTAACACTATTTATTTATTTTTACTTTTTGTTGTTGCTTTGGCTTTCATCTACATTTTTCACTAGGTGGACCATAAATGTAATATTTTGGTGGAAAATATTATGTAGAAATATAAAATTAAGCAGAATGTATCACCAATGATTTCTTTTTCATCTTTTAATTATACTAGTATCATTTTAGAAAACTTAGGAAAGTAGCTAATACACAAAAATAAGTAAGTTTTAAACTATCTAGACTCTCTTTAGAAAATGCCACATTTCATTATTTAATCTTGTTTATCTTTTGTTATATATAAGAAGAGTGTCCTTTACCAGATTTGCATCACAATGCACATATTTTTCTATAGACTATGGTTTTAAATTTTTATTTAAGCAGGCCTGGAGGATGGCTTAGTGGATAAAAGAACTTGCCACATAAGCCTGACAGCCTGAACTTGAATCACCACGACCTTTAAAAGATCTGGACACAGTAATATCCATGTGTATAAACCCATGTGTCCCAAGGCAGAGGCTGAAGGCAGTGACAAGAGAATCCACAGAGACTCATAGGCCTGCTTGTTAGGTACTCCCAGAACTCAGCTAGAGAGATCCTGTCTCAGACAAAGTAGAAGGTAAGAACCAGCACCCAATGTTGTTCTGTGATCACACACACACACACACACACACACACACACACACACACACACCTTTAAATCCAGAAAAGAATGGTGGACCTCTACGAGTTCAAGGCCACACACCCTGATCTACCTAGCAAATGCAGAGTCAGCCAGTAATACATATGAAGAACTTGTCTCAAAGACAGGAAGAGGAGGGAGAGAGGTATGGAAGAGTAGGAGGGAAAAGAAAGAGGGGAGGGAGAAAGGAAGGAGGGAGAGAGGGAAAAAGGAAGAGAGGAGTGTATTGTGCAGGCTGCCAAGTACTGGGGAGACAGAGAGGTTGTCAAATTACTGTTCTTCCTTCCTTTTCCAAATCTAGGATTCTCCTCCAGGGCCGCTCTGATGCAAGTGGAAGAGCTTCTAGTCTCAATTATTCAGATTAGCAGAGCCCTGGGGTGCCTCCAGTGGCTGTCTACCTAAGCCTATTTTACAAGGCAGTAAGACAGTACTGTGTGTGTGTGTGTGTGTGTGTGTGTGTGTGTGTGTGTGTGTGTAAAGGTTTGTAACTTAAGTTTTTAAAATATGCTGTTAGACTCACGATGTAGCTCACAGGAAAATAATCTGTCTGGCATTCAGGAGGCCTTGAATGCATTCCCAAACACCATGAAATATTAATACAACCTATGTACCTACTGTGAGTAATTAGTACATTCTGGAGTTACTGCCCAGATCTCTATTTATTCCCCATCACTTACACCATAGCACATCAGAAATTGGTTAGATTTTTTCCAGTATGTCTAATAAAAATATTCCCTAGTGTCTATCTTAACTGTGCCTGGTTTTCCCATGTACATTCCATGCAGAAACCAAGACTGAAGACCATATCAAAGCAACCTTCGGAGGAAGATGGACATCAGGAAGGTCCCAAACAAGTGATGGTATTAAAAGCAACAGAACCATTTACATATGACATGAGAGAAGACAAAATGATGTTCCATGCCACAGTGGCCACTGAGACTGAATTCTTCAGAGTGAAGGTTTTTGACAAAGTCCTAAAGGAGAAGTTCATCACCAACAAAGTCATTGTCATCTCAGATTATATTGGCCGCAATGGTTTTTTAGAAATACACAGAGCCTCCAGTGTATCTGAGGTGAATGGCAGCAATATGATGAATATCCCACTTTCACTGAGACAAAGAGCCAATGCAACTCCCAAAATTAATACTATTTGTACACAAAGAAGAGGAACATTTGTGAATGGAGTGTTTGCAGTATATACGGTAAGCCTTTGGGTTATTTTGTAAAATTTCATTTGCAACCTGGGATTTTAAGTCTTAACTTGGCAGATTGGATGTGGTCGATTTTTCTGTACACAAGAAACCAAGGCCTCCCTGATCAGGAAGAGGAAAGTGGACTTTCCCAATTTAAGACATGGGATAGTCTCTTCACATTGTTATCGTAGTATCACCATGAAATGTTTTACAAAGAGACTCCACACAAAAGCCAGTATTTTGCTAATTGTAATGATCCATTTATAGCATTTGATATCAATACATATCCTTAAGATCTTGTCTGTTTGCATTCTTCCCTACACATATCAGAAATAACTTAATTATAATTAATAGTTGGAGCCCTTAACTGGGTAATTGTTGTGACAAATAGAATAAGAAAGCAAGTTGTAGTGGGATGCCTTGCTCAGCCTCAATGCAGGGAAGAGAGCCTTGGTCCTACTTCAACTGAATGTGCCAGGCTTTGTTGACTCCCCATGGATGCCTTACCCTTTCTGAGGAGTGGATGGGGGTTTGTTTGGGAAAGGTTGGGGGGAGCAGAAATAAGGGAGGGAGGGTGAATTGTGGTTGGTATGTAAAATGAATGAAATAGCCTGGATATCTGGTTCTTACATTCTTCCTGTCCCCTCTTCTGTGATAATTTGTGAGACTAGAGTGCATATATTATGTTTAAAATATATTAATTGGGGGAGGGCACTCTATGATCCTTTGATCTCGCATTTTGACCAGTTGTGGCCTCCTGTAATGGTCTCCATCTGCTGCTCAAAGAAGCTTTGGGGGGGAGAGGTTGGATGGATTACCTGGTTGTACCTGTAATTTTAAAAGCTGCATGAGAAGATACTGTGAGACAGGGTTCATGTGGAGGGGCTTTTAATTAGGGAAAGGGATCATAAAAATGAGGAAGGGGGGAAGACTGGTCTCCAGGGACAGGAAATAAAAGCAGAGAAAGAGGAGAGAGACAGAGAGAGGGAGAAAAATAGAGAGATGGGAGGTGGGCAGAGGCCTTTTAAAAGGGAATGTAGTGAATGTGAACAGGTGGTGCTCTTCGTGGATGCATCTGATGGTGTATCCTGTCAGAACCCCAAGGACAGACCTGTACATATGCCTGAATACTAACAGAAAAGTATTTAGAATGCAGTTAGAAATTATACTGGTTCAGGCAAGTGGCAGGGGGTCTTCCTCTAGATTCCACGTCCCAACAACTTACAGTGCTGCATTCATATTCCTTCCTAATGAGTGGAATCTACATTCAGTAAAGTAACTGTTGGTTACTTACAGGATATAAGTGCCACTATTTCACCTTTCAGGATATCTTGCCATGCTTATCATTGTTGTGGCTCATTGTCGGTATACCTGAGATAGGGCTATTCATTGCTGTTCTCTTTAGCTGCCTCTGAAACTATAAGAATAAATCATCAGTGAGGAGGCTTCTAGATAATCTAGATCAGTTACTCCAAATTCTGTGTCTCAACTATGTGATATCTTCAGCAAAAGTGTTTAACATTCGCCTGGCAGGAGCCTATATTGTTATGGGGGTCTATTGCACTGACCTGATTAACAGGTTGAAAGGAAGTTTTCCATACCTGGTACTGGAGTTTTTGTTGATAGTTTAGGAGGTTTTCTGTTTGTTTGTTTTTTGGTGGGTAGGCAATTGCAATAACTTCAATCAAACTACATATAAGTGTGCATGTGTGCGTGTGTGTTTGTGTGATGTTATATGTAATTTAAGTTAGAACAAAATATATATTCCACTATGGCTTTTCCATACATCATTAATGTTAATTGTATCTCCTCCTTCCATCTCCGTCTGTGTTGTCATTTCTCCTCCACCCCAGGTGAGTGTCCCCCAGTCATTTTTTCCCATTTCTTCCTTCATAGATACGGTGCCCTCCTATTCCCATCCTTAATATTTCTGTTATGGTCCCTTTTTACTTCTCTAGGATCTGCATTTATTCTAGGTTATTTACTTGCACCTAAAGATTTGGAGCTAATATCCACAAATAAGAGAAAACATATATATTTGTGCAAAGGGTTACTTGAGTTACTTGCCTCTCATCTCTATCAATATGGTAGAAGGAAAGTTTTTTTCTATAGCAACCTATAGGATAAAGACCTTAAGTAAAAGCTTGAGAGACATTTTCTGGTTTGGGAACGAGAACCCCTGAAACTGTCTTGTACCCATAATTCTAAACCTACGCCTGTATTTGCCTTATCAGAGACAACAGTATTTATGTCTCATAGAAGTAACAATACAGATTTCTCAGAAGATTAATGTTAATTATTTCTTTTTCAGAAAACAGTGAAGAATGAATTCATTTACTATGGAATAGAAGATATAACAGGGAAAATGGAAGTGGTGGTACACGGAAAGTTCACCAATATGTACTGTGAACCAGGGGATAAACTTCGACTCTTCTGCTTTGAATTGAGCTTAAGTATGGATAAGTGGCAGCTGAGATCCGGGAGGCACAGTTACTTGCAGGTGTGTGGTCTAAGGAATTGTCATTTTTGCTAGTAATCACTTTTAATACTCTGCTAAGACTTGGTTGCAACAGAAAGTAGATCCAGTTTATGACATTAATATATGTAAACATTTTCTTACTATCATTTTCAAACAGGTTATTTTTGTTTGCTTCCTCTTGCTTTTTTTTCTTGAAAATATTTTCTCATAGAATATGTTCTTATCACAGTTTCCCCTTCCTTATCTCCTCCCAGATCCTTCCCCACCTTCCAATCCACCCAACTCCATCCCTATTTTCTCTCTTTATCTTTAGGAAACAAACAGGCAAAACAAAATAACCACAATAAACAAAAAGAAAAAGCAGGAGCAACACACACACACACGCACGCACACACACACACATACGCACATCCACACCATAGAAACGAGAGATCAGAAACCATAATATATAAGCAAAATACCAGTAGCATTAAAAAATGTTCAAATAAATTTGTAACAACAACAAAATATCCAAAACTACCTTTGAATTCATTTTGAGTTGGCCATCAACTTTTAAGAATGGTTTGTACACGCAATGAGATTCCATTAGAGGAAACTAATTTTTCCTTTGCATCAGTTGTCTGTTAGAAATGGGGTTTTTTTTTGGTTAGGGATGGGAACTTGGATCCACTTCCCCCTCACAGTGTTGGGATTCCATCTGTGTTGGACTTGTGCGTGCCCCGTGAGTTCTGCCTCAGTCTGTGTGAGCTCTTATGCCGATCCTGTTATGTTTAGAGGTCTTGTTTCCTTGGTGTCTTTCAAACCTCTCTCTTGCAGTCTTTCTTCTTCCTCTTCCACATTGTTTCCTGAGCTCTGGGGGGAGTTGGGGATTGATGAAAGCATCCCATTTAGCACTGAATGTTCCAAAGTTTCTCACTACCTGCATATTGTCTGGATTTAGGTCTCTGTGTTAGTTTCCACCTACTGCAGGAGGGAGCCTCTCTGGTGAAGGCTGAGTGAGACCCTGATCTATAGGTATAGCAGAAAGTCACTAGGAGTCGTTTTATTGCTATACTCTTTTAGCAGACCTATACTTGATCCCTCCCAAGTACAACTTGGAAATAATGTTCATCACAAAGGATCATGAACAGAACTCACAACAAATACCATATGTTTCACAAGGATGCCTTAAACAAATTAGAGCACAAAGAACCAAAGTCCAGTTTCTTGTCACACAGTGGGATTCACTAAACACCACCAAAGACTAGCAATAATACATAGAGGAAATATAAGAACTGACCTATTCAATCACAGGAAATGCTTTCAGATCTCCCTTATTCTCAGGACCATAAGTCAAACATTCCAAACTTCCCCCCAAACCCCTGCAGCGGCTTCAGGCATGCTTTCTGTGCCGTCCTAGTAACCATCTGTGTGATGGTGTCTTCCACTTTGGTTCTGCGGTTTCTCCATCCCTACTATTCCTTCACCATATCTCCTGCTCTTCTGTCTGTGCTCATGCCTGGTAGGGTGTGACTAGCTCATTTTATATTCTCAAGCACTGGGAGCAAAGCTGATTCCCAGGATAGATTCAGTAAAGGAGTTAGGTAAGGAAAGAGGAGTGATTCATAGAGTGTGAGGAAACAGTTGTGTGGCCAGCTGCATCTCAGCTGATCTGACTTTATTCTTTTCTTCTTCAAGGTCATCCAGGCTAGGACAAAAGACTTAGAGCCACCCAATCCTCGTTTACTTATGGAAAATCCCTACACTCCAATTTAAGGACAGCTGAACAACTTTGGCAATGATGTCTATGGTAATAAGATGCAGGTACAGAAAAAAGTGTATACAGCTTATAATGAAGTAAAATATATATAAAATGAGGCTCTTAATTCTAGAGAATAGTGCTCTTTGACTTTGTTCTTCATATATTTTAGATTTCATATTTTCCACATATATGTTTCAAAACTTGAAAAAAAGAATAATAAACATTTTATCGAAAGCGGGTCTTCCCCAGGAGTCTTTTTCATCTGTTTATAAATTATGAAGTATATAGCTTGTGCTGTGCAGATCATAGTGAAACAAACAGGGTTTGACAAACATGCCAACTTGTACTTTGGGTGGGACATCCAAAGACATAGGCCTCAGGCTGTGTTCCATGAAGAGAAATCGACTTAAAAGTAGTGTAGGGTCTGGAGAGCAGTCTGTACTGTAGTTATCAAGGCTTATTCTCCAAGGAGGGGTTTCATTGACTGAGGAAAAGATAGTGATTACTTTACCAAATGAGGATTGTCTAGTGGTTTGGTGAAGGCACTAGTATGCTAGAACTGCCAGCCCTGTGAAAGGGACGGAGTCCACTCGCTTACTCATAGTTTACTCCTATCCCAGGGTTTGTCAGTAGCTCTCCCATCCAAGTTCCCGTTTACACTTGCGTGTGTGTAGAGCTACTGGGAGTTATTCCCAGCAAAGACTTATATCAGGCAGATGTTGAAGGCAACTTACTTTTGAGTAGAAAGGCAGATAACAGGGCTGTGTGTGTTAGGGGCAAAAGTCTGGAGACCCTGGGAACAGAAAGCACAGTTCGCTACTCTAAGTCACAAGGCTATTCATTTCCAACGGGAATCAATGAAGTTCTACCATTTTATACTGTGTCCAAAGATCCAAGAATCACGATACCTTGCTTCACTTTCACTCTCTGATTATGTGTCTTATACTACCTTTAGATGACAGATATTATATATTCTTGCCTAATATTATGCTAATAGCATATACATGTGTTTATATATTTATATTTACACACAGACATGGTTATTTACATATTTACATAAGTATAGTTACATGAATGCCTAGGTTAATGTATGTTCATATATTTACTTATTTATAAAAATTAGTTTAGTCATCATATCACTTCATCACAGAATCTCATTTTCTTTGCTACCATAGCCGATCCAATGAAGTGATCAAAGTTGTAAGATTACTGATCTGGCTAGGAAACAGTTTCAGGAGACATAAAGAAGGCATGCATACTCTAATCAAGGAAACAATTAGCTAGCACGATACTACTAAACATCTATGTGCCAAATTCTGGCTCACCCAAATTCACAAAAAGCATGCTACTGGACTTCAAGACACAAATTATCCCCACCTCAGTAATAGCAGATGGTTTCACCACACCCCTTTGCCCAGTAGACAGGCCACTGGGACGAAAATGTAGAGAAATTTCAGAATTAAATGGCATTATTCATCAACTAGATCTAACAGATACATGCAGAACACTGAACTGAAATGAACACACATTCTGCTCAGCAGCCCAGGGAAGCTTGTCTAAAAATCACCACATAACAGGATACAAAACAAATCCTAAGACGTCCTAGCTTGTGTAGACTGTATTGTAGAGTCACAGAGAAGAAATTTTGCATAAATACAAGTCATAGAGAATCCAGTCGGATATTTTAAAGCTCGAGATTTTTTACAGCTGAGGCAATTATTTTCTTTTTTAGTTAATTTTGTTAGTTATGAATTGGGCCCATTATTTTTAACGTGGATACCTAATTGTTTTAGTAGTATTTGTAGAAAAATATGATTTCTATGTTTTGCTTTGTGTTTATACTTTTATGGATAAAACAGTATATTGTAGACATGTGAGGGATGTTGCCTTCATGTACTCTATAGGCTTATTTTGACCTTAACATCACAATGTCATTGTATTATTTACCTATCTATAAAAACATTTTAATTACTTCACTATGACTCACAATATCTACTTTTAATCACACAAGATATATTTCAAAAATATTACACTGCTTTATATGCTGTATTAAGACCTTGCAACCAGTATTATACTCTTAACTTTTCCCTCTCAGATATTGTATTTGTGCCTATATACTTTACTTTCAAATATTTTGTAAACATTTGTAGTATCTTTGCTTAAGATCAGGAATTGGCAGCCGGGTGTTGATGGCACACGCCTTTAATCCCAGCACTCGGGAGGCAGAGACAGGTGGATCTCTGTGAGTTCAAGGCCAGGCTGGACTGACAGCCTCCAAAACAATACAGAGAAACCCTGTCTCGTAAAACCAAAAAAAAAAAAAAAAAAGATCGGGAATTGGCAAAGTTGGTCTCTTACCTGTTTTTATTTAGATTATCTGCTTTTTAATAGCCAATAAACTAAAAGTACCTTTTACATTTTTTAGATGTTCAGGGGAAAAAAACCAAAGGATAATATTGTGTGGCTGAGGGAATTATATGAATTTCAAGTTTCCGTGTATATAAATAAGATTGTATTAGAATTCAGACAGACTCATTTATCTGTATTTTTAGGGCAGGGGCCACGTGGGGCAAACAGTTCTGTATATGTGTATGTTTGGAAAGCCAAGCTGTGGCTCTTACAACCTACAGAAGGTCAGAGAGACTGGGGACAAGACACAGAGTCGGCAAGAAAAGCACACAGACTTCTTTTCTGAAGGATAAAAGCTTCTGCTCCTTTATTTTTCAGACCCTTTTACTATTCCCCACTCTAAGTCAATTACAAAGTCAAGGGTATCTTTTTCTATTCCCCATACTAAGTCAATTACAAAGACAAGGGTGTTCCCTATGACCAAAAGTTACACAGTCACTGCATAATCACCGTAAAAACATATTTTTCTCGAACAGCTCAACTCCATTGTGTTTCTCAACCACAATTTGTGCATTTCCTGAGAAACCCACACTCAGTCAAATGCTTATCTTGTAGACTTCTCACAGATCAGGAGCCTTTAAGCCACAACCATTTACATAGGCAGTAGCTCTTATAATTGCCAGAAAAATAGGCCACTTGTTTAACTTTCAGATTTTAGAGTCCTGTATATTTATCTTAACTAACCATCCAAGTCTTTGTTTTTTAGTTATACAAAGTCATTATTTAAAGCTTTTTCCCCCCGGTTATGTTGTACACTGAAACCCATATTTCCCAACATCAAGATTTGAAAAAAAAAAGAAAGAAAAGAAAAAACTTGAGCTAGCTCAACTCCTGGGACTCTATTGTTTTCCTTAATCTTTAACCTAAACCACAGTCTATATGACTCATCAAGTGAAACTCACAAGCTGTGTGACACTTCCTATTTTCTACCCTTTGCAGCCCCTGCCTTATCGGGGCAGGAGCAACACTATATCCTACTTTTACCTATATTAACTTTCACACTAAACTAACTATCTATATAATCTATGTAGCTATATAACCCATTACTGTATTTGTTAGAAACCCTTAATCACCCAAATTCTATTTCAACTAACACTGTATTGTATAACACCATTACTTCAGTTAATTACTTCATTACTCAAATAAAGCTTAAGAGGAAATCACCTTGATAACAATCCACAGGGGAAAATGCCCAGTACAATGGGATATTCCTAAGAGATAATCACACTACATTAAAGACAGTGGAGACCCCCCCCCGCCCCATGCCCATTCACACCATGCCAGATACCAAAGAAAAATGGCAGTGGCAAGCATGAAAAGACATAGCAGTAGCATGAGACATTATGGACCTGAAGCCCTTGATGCCTTGCCTATTGAAGATTCACCCATCAGTGCCTTGCACTGTGGTGAGCTGAATGCCTGAAGCTCAATTGTCATCTGCTGCTCCTCTGACAAAGCCATGAATGACAACCTTTCTGTCTCCTCTTCCACAATGCTCCCTGAAACTTAGGTGCAACAGTTCTGCTGTAGATATATCCACTGGGACTGGGAGGATATACAACTCTACATCTTGATGGTTGTGATTTTCTGTAATGGTCTCTATCTATTGCAAAAATTTTCTTCATGAGGGATAAGGACTACACTTATCTATGTGTATAAGGCCAAATACCTAGAGTGTAGTTAGGGATTATGCTGGTTTAGTAAAGTGGTGTTACTAGGTTCTTCTTTAAAATTCATTTCACTAGCCCTAGGGGATCCGGCTAGGTTTCAGGAATGATTTCTTCCTTGTTGAGTGGGTCTTAAGTCCAACTAAAGAATTGTTGGTTACCACTAAGGTATTCACCCTTACGGTTATTTTGCCATGCTGGTCATTTTTATGGTTCTTAGTCATCACAGCTGGGTGTTACTGATGGTTGCTTCCCTCTTTTGGAAGCTTGTATGGCACCTTCTGGGATCATGAAAGATAATCCTTGGGTAGAAGACTGTCAGGTCAGTTACAGTTCAGGCCTCTGAATCCCATGTCTGAAGTGCGTGGTATCGTCATCAGCATAAACTTATCACCCTATCTGGGGGTCAATAGCATTAGCAATGGCAATAGCCTGTAATGTTTGGGGAGTCTCTTAGACAACCCTGACCAACTACTCAAAAGAGGGTTTCTCGTGCCTGGTATTATGATTTTTATCAGGTTTTGTATTTGTTTTGTTTTGCTATACATCTGACAGAGGATTTTTCTAGTATTTATCCTTTTTGAACTAATGGGATAGGATGATGAGCCGGTAAATTGCTCTCCTCAGGCAGCTCAATCTGATTCAAGAAGCAGTATTATAATTCTTTAACAAATGCTGTTTAGATGACTTGACTTCAATTCATAGTTTTCTTCTCAGCTTTTGGCTTTGTGGCCTTAATAACCTAGGTGGAGAAGAAAGATGTAGACTGAGATATCATTGATCAATTAATTCTTCTCTACTTCCTATTACTGTGTTCTCCTGAAATGTACCTCCCTTTTCATCATATCTCCTCCCCCTCCCTCATACCCCCTTAATTCCTTCACTCTTAGATGACTCTCCTGAAGTACATAAGCTCCAAACACATGCATTCCTACCTAAGAAGGGCACAGATAAAGATTTCTCAGGTCTCTATCTAAAACTTACAGAGAGAGGCAACTGTCCATACAAACACTGTTGAGTGGAGGAGAGAGAGCAAAGCTAGGGGAAGAGAGCAAAGCTGTGTCAATAGGATAAGAACAAGGGTGTGACAGCTTACTTAACTGCCCTGGACTATGATATAAGCACGAATGGTTGGACTGCCTCAGAAATTTGTTTTCAAGGAGTTAGTCTGACTTTTAACTGCATTTGTCACAATATTTGTGCAACTTCAGTCAAGTTGCCTTCATTAAACTTAGACTGTGTTTAAGAAAACTCACTGTGGAGTTGAGAAAGAGAGAGAGAGAGAGAGAGAGAGAGAGAGAGAGACAGACAGACAGACAGACAGACAGACAGACAGACAGACAGACAGAGACAGAGAGAGCAAGGGAGGGAGGGAGGGACAAAGGGAGGAAGGGAGGGAGGTATGGAGAGAGGGAGGGACAGAGTTGTATGTGACACCTATGAGTTTTTAATTGTGTGTCTAGGATGTGAATTTTCTAAAGACAGACTCCTCGGTTCTGTGAGATGTAGATGTGCTCACTACATATTGGGGGTCTTCTCTGTCATATCCTGTTCAACAGCCTCTTTTCAGATTTCTGACAGAAAACACAAAATAATGTCCTTTTTTGAGAACTAACATTCTTCCATACCTTAAGGAAGCTGTAGGGTCCCGATTTCAGCTGTATTTTCTCTCCACTTTTTGACACCTCAAAGAATGTGAGTCTAAGTTTATCTCCTTCCTCGCATTTTTCTTGATTCTGGTTTCCAAGCACCAACAGGTTCATCTCCCCTGTGTTGTCATGGATACCATATAGCACTCTATCTTTTCTTTGCTCTATTACCTGTGAAAGGAAGACAACAACCAAGCTCTGTTGAGGTGACTAAGGAAGAGCAGCATGTAAATCAATCATCAGACAAGATGGGAGCAGCTTTCTAAAAGAAGCATTAGGAGCAATTCCAGCTTCCAAACTAGAAGGTTTCTACCTAACAGGTATTAGAAAATCCTGGTGAAGGAGGTAGGAGAGTCTTACAAAAATCATGTTGCTTCTTGCATACATCTTTCTGGTCCCAAGCCTTTTTCCCTTTGGGAAGCCAGGATGGCTCATAGAAACAACTAATAAAGGGGAAGTCTTCTCCAGGGCTAGTATATAGGAGGCAGCCAGGGGAAAGGAAGACCTTGTGGTTAGGAGGAAGGTCGCTTGGTGAAACAAGTCCAGAGAAACATGAGCTAACAGTAAAAGACCTAGTGAACAAATCTACAAGTTAAAAGTCAAAGACAGGAAATCATTCACATTCAAGTGCAGATTAGAAGGGACCAGATGCTGGTGACATATGTAAAATATGGACAGCATTTGAAAGTCAGTTTTATTGGCCATGTAAATAGACATTATGGGTAGTTGACCAAACAGAAGGTTCAAAATTCAAGGGTTAAAAACAGGTATTTTTATACTTTAAATTTCCAAGGAGGATAATCTTCTCCCATTACCTTTTCTGAAAGGACTAGAAAACCTCATCTCACTACTAGGTACAGAAATCAACAAGTTCCCCGTGGTCCTTTAGGATTTGTACTAGGCCAGAAAATTGTTCACACAAGGATAGTTTTCCATCCAGTTGCAGAGAGGGTGGAGTGATGAGCAAAGGGGTCAAGACCATGCTGGAGAAACCCACAGAAACAGCTGACCTGAACTAGGGGGAGTTCCTGAACCCCAGATTGACAGCTGGGAAACCAGGACAGGACTGTTCCAGACCCCCTAAATGAGGATGTCAGTTTGGAGGTCTGGTTAATCTATGGGGCCTCTGGTAGTGGATCAGTATTTATCCCTAGCACACAAATGGACCTTGGGAGCCCACTCCACATAGAAGGATAGACACATGGGGGAGGGCTAGGCCCTGCTCCAAATGATATGACAGACTTTAAAGATCCCCCATAGAAGGCCTCACCTTCCCTGGGGAGCAGAAAGGGGATGAGATAGGGGATCTTTGAGGGGCAGGGGAGGGAGAGGGAACTGGGATTGGCATGGAAAAGAAGCTTGTTTCTAATTTAAATTTTAAAAAAGGAAAAAAGGCCCCCTCAGGCTCATAGGGAGTGGCACTATTTGAAACGATTAAGATATGTGACCTTGTTGTAATAGGTGTGATCTTGCTGTAGGAACTGTGTTTCTGGGGCTGGGCTTTGAAGTTTTAGAAGCTCTAGCCAGGTCCAGTGGCTCACTCTCTCTTTCTGTTGCCTGTGGGTCCAGATGTAGAACTCTCAGCTACTTGTCCTGCACCATGTCTGCCTGCATCCACCAAGCTCTGGGCCATGGTGATAATGGAGTAAACCTCTGAACCTATAAGCCAGCCCCAATTAGATGTTTTCCTTTGTAAGATTTGCTGGGGTCATGGTGTCTCTTCACAGCACCAGAAACCCTGACAAAGACACGTGGCATCTAGCTAGGATTCCCTGCTAACTCTCCCATTATCTTCTATTAGTCCTCTAGCTCATCAAAGAGCACACCTCTCCTCAAAACAAAAGTGGCTTTGAATGCGGATGGTAATAAGTGTGCAAGAGCAACACAGAGGGGGAAATAGCTGTGTCTGTGTTTCAGAGGTTACAAGGATTGAAAACATAAATAAAAGTGGCTTCAAAAGAAAACTTCTGCCACCAGGCCTTGGTGGCTCACTCCTTTAATTCCAGCACTCGGGAGACAGAGGCAGGAGATCTCTGTATGTTCGAGGCCAGCCTGGTCTACAGAGTGAGTGCCAGGACAGACTCCAAAGCAATACAGAGAAACCCTGTCTCGAAAAACCACAAAACTAAAGTAAAATAAAACCTTTGCTGGCTGTTGTGGCTCACATGTGGGTCTCAACACTCAGGACACAGAGGCAGGGGAATTTTGGCAAGTGCCAGACCAGCTAAACCTACACAGTAAGACCCTATCTCAAAAGACAAAACAAACAAAAATACATATAAAATAAAACTTTTGTGAGCTTTGCATAGAAGTTTTGGCAAATTCTCATCCTGCAAATTCTTAATTGTATTAAATTGGGTTTTTCTTGATTGTCAAAGTTGTTTAAACTCAATTATTTCATTGATTTACTTGTTTCATATTTTATACAGGGAGAAGAACACTGAAACATAATTTCTAGAGTTCCATTAAAGCTTAGAATAACTGTTGGCTAGGCATTGGTGGTGCATACCTTTAATCCCAGCACTTGGGAGGCAGAGGCAGGTGGATCTCTGTGAGTTCCAGGCCAGCCTGGTCTACAAAGTGAGTTCCAGGACAGCCTCTGAGACAATACAGAGAAACCCTGTCTCGAAAAAACAACAACAAAAAAAAGCTTAGAATAACTGTTGCATTCTTTTTACCAACCAATATAGAATTGTACATAAAGATTTACCTTCTGGACTTTAAACATCCCATTGACAATTGTTCCACTAGGCTGAGTCTTCAGCTTCTTAATCATGGGAGTTCTCCCAGCTTTTTCCCTAATGTTATTTGGAACACAAACTTGGTGGTCAGCATCAGCCTCAACCACAGTTGAGGAGCTGGTCACCTCCAAGAAGCTCCTGTACCAAAGATAGTTTGATATTTCAATTGTTCTTTGTGGGGTAAACTTATCTTTAAGCTGTGCATTTAAAACTTTTACGAAGAAGAAATTTGTCGGTGTGGCCACTGTTGCATGGAATATCGTTTGCTTCCCTTCCCGAGTTTCACACTCGAAAGGAGTCGTAGCTTTCAGTACCAATAAAGCCAGGGGATCTTTCTGTAAACCTTTTCTGGTGGCTTCCTGTTCTGCCATGATCTGCTTCTTCTGAGGCTGTGACAACAGAGAAGAAGAGATGTTAGCTATGGGTCAACACTGCAATTGAGGTGGCCTTCACTCAAGATAAACCCCAGCAAGCCAGAAAATGATGAACTGAAGGGAAGATGGAGAAGTCCAGAAAAGATTAGACTTGGAATTATCTAGATTTCTTAAAAGGGATACCTCTCATGTTATATGGGGGGGGGGCAATAGAACTGACTCTGGAGACAGAATTTCTGAGTCAGGAGCCTTCTTTGCCATGTAGTCTATGAAAAGAGTGTGTGCAAAACCTGAATCATTGCTAGAGGCAGAACCTGATCCTGTTTTCTTTTGATTCTATTATAGTGTATTTCTCCCTCCAACACTGTTTTGAGCATTTATGTGGCTCTTGTGTGAGGGTGAGGAATTTCAGTGATGTACACAGAGCTCCCCACATCCACAGGAATATCCACGTACACAACAAAAGTATAGATCACTAAATATGAGTAAAGGAAGAGATCTTGGGATGAGATCCCACAGATGTACTAAACAGAGAATGAAAATGAGAATCAATTCTACCTTTGTGACTTTACTCTTAGAAGCAATGAATTCTACATTAAGGTTTACATAATAATTGCATTTTATTATTTGTAGTTATAAATCATTAAGATCATTTAAATATCAAAAAAGGATCTTGTCAAATAAAATCTTGTAACACAACATATATAATACTAAATATGTTTCATAGGGATAATGTAACAAACTATTTTAGTTGATTTAACAAAGGATAAAATACAATGTATTCCTTATTGAATAAATACACAAATAACCCACATAAACACAATACAGGAGCGTCGTCAATGATAAATGGGCTTTCTTCTCCACAATCAGATTATGGTGATTTGATTCTCATCTTTTTTGTTGTTCTTGTTGATGTTGTCCTTCCAAATTAAGAGATTAAGGAGGATAGGGAACAGTCTGTCTGTGTAGGTGCACATGCAGGCCTGTGTTCATGCATGTGTATGTTTTAGAAGCAATACTATTTTTTTGTAAGTAATTAATGACCCATAAGCAAAGGAAGACACTGAGTAAAAGAGGCCCAGAAAAGACGGTTCTGAGCTGGATCTCTGGGAGACCCTGAGATGTGAGTCCATGAGTACATCTGACGAACAGCATCCCACACTCAATTTGGTCCAAAGCAGGAAAATGCCAAGTTCACTGGGGACTGTTGCAGAATTTTTTGTCTGCAGGCCCAACCATTTTATCTGGATCATCCAGACTATACAATATGTATTTTCATGTCTGTTGGGTAAAATGCAACACTTCAACCTGGATATTGTTCTTTTGACAATTCTAGAAATTTCTAAGCCAAGCACAAAGGAAGTGGGTGGATACGCTACAAAGAATGGTGTACACACCGTAAACTCATTCCTCTGTAGAAGGACATGACACTTCCTTCACAGGAAATGAAATTGCATGTGCTTGGTAGATTTTGTGGTAGAGCCCTGCATGCTGCCATCAGGGCTAAGGAACAAGGACTCTCTTCAAGTTTTATTCCCTCTGCTACAAAGAAACACTTCCCCACAAAAAGATCAGGCACATAGTGAGTAGAGGGGCCCTAACTCTCTCATAGGACAGGCTAATCTCTTTACTGCAATCCCACTGAACTTGAAATTTTCCCCTATTCCCTCACTTCCTAACCCTCCTCACAAGAACTAATGTGGAGAGCACCCTAAAATACACTCCCTGAAATAGACCCTGTCAGAGTCTTCTTCTAATAGAGGCTTAGAGTGAAACATGTTAGTATGTCCAGAGCACGGCAGAAATTAGATGTTTGCAGGCATGTAAACTGATGACTTTGAGTGACTTTTCTTTTTGTAATGCAGACATATCTTCCCTATCCTCACCTTGCTTTCCTGCTTTGTATGCTCTAAGACAAAGGGCAGAAGACTTCAGGTGCTGGATAACAGTGTTAATCATGGAAGGGGGTCCTCATGAGGACCAAGGAGCTGCCCTAGCCTACCTTAGCCTGAGGACAGACTTCTGTAGCAGAGTGTTTATTGGAGGCTTCGTCTCTGCTGGTAGCAGAGGCACCAGAACAGTTTTCATCTTGACTTCTTTTTTCTACTTTCTGTGCTCCTTTCTTCTTTGTCGTGGCTCGACTATCAACTGAAGAAGGAAGAAGAGGGGAAAGAGGAGGACAAGGTGGGGGGAGGAGGAGAAGAGGAGGAGGAGGAGGAGGAGGAGGAGGAGGAGGAGGAGGAAGAAGAAGAAGAAGAAGAAGAAGAAGAAGAAGAAGAAGAAGAAGAAGAAGAAGAAGAAGAAGAAGAGAACCAGAAAGAGGTATGTTAACCTAAAATGCATGAGCAAGCATGGCTGAGACATTAGAATATCATTTTCTCTCAAGAAGAAAATTAGAAGGGAGACAGCAGCAGGGTGATGGATTAGGAGTTTCCCTCTTCAGCTCCCCTCAAGAATACAACTCATGACTATCCATAGACAAGGCACATTAGGGAACATCTCAGAATGCAATGGAGGTATCTTCTAGAACCATGGAACCAAAAATGTCTGGAGGCTGAGAGAACTGTTTTCATTTTTAACAATGTTATCTCCCTCCCAAGATGGTGCAGTACTGTGCAGAGAGAATTCCACGACTCCACACCTCCTGTGGTGAAGATGGATGGCAGGAGGTGAGCATGTGGCTTGCTCAGCATTATGGAATTCACTGTAGAAGACTCATTTTCACCTTATCCCATAAGGAATGCTGGGGACATTGGCAAGACTGGAATAACAGGGGTCAATTAGGAGTAAACAAAATGAAGTGGGTCTCACTGTGACCAATACATGCTCTTCTCTCTGGAGTTGCCCAACCAAAGACACTAACTTATAGTACTTTTAAAAGGCATTCACAACCAGTGTGTTGGCTTTGAATCATAGCCAACTTTCCACTTAGCCTTGGCACTCTGTGTAAGGCTTCCCTGAACTTCCTGGCTGAGGGTGTACACATATGCACATGTGTGGAGTGCATCATCTAAATCTGTCTAACCTCCACAGTGGAGTGATGACCCCGCCAACCTCAGAGCAATGCAAGAGGCTTCTGGGACATTATAGGCAAGTTCATGCACACAAATAACCTTGAGAGGAAACATCTGATCCTGCTGCCCTATTGTGCAACTCATCCCACCCAACCCGGGGCTTAAAAAAAAGGCTTCTTGTTAAAGACAAGTCTGTGCCCCAGTACTTCCTCAGAGTAGAGCATCTGGTCTCCCAACCCCAGTGGCTGAGAAGTGATGGGACCGGGAGGAATTTTGACCCCAGCCTGAGATCCAGCAAGGCCCAACACTGGAAGGGAAAGCCTGAGATTATACATAGGTATCTAGCATATTCTTTGACCCTGCCCATTCCAAGTGGGCCAACAGCAGCACCCTCAGCCTTTCCCAGCCTCAGAACCCAATCCTACGGCCATGCACAAATAGAGATCCTGATTGTCAATTTAGGATCCATATCCTGTAAACTTACTTAACTGAAGGTGATCACAGATGCTAGCCAGCAGCTACACCTGACTGTGAAGTCCAGTTGGTGATCTTACTGGACCATTCAATGTAACTAGTGTCCTTATTTGACCACAGGACACAGGCAGTAGCCTGGTCCAGTCAGAGAACCTGCAAAGGGGTCTCCCCGTAGCTGATACCAGCTGACTTACGCAAAAGCACAGCTGGGTTAAAGAATAAGGAGGATGGAGAGGAGGGGAAGGATACGAAGAAGCAGAAGAACAAAGACAAAAAAATGGTTACTTGTTTCTCTTTCAAGTGTGCAGACACTAATCACAAAAAGAACAGACCCAAAGCATGGGCCATCTAGAACATCAGTTAATTTGAAACCGAGTAAGCCAGGCGACCATGTGGTAGTATATTTAAAGCCGTGGGACAGAAAACAAATAAGTGAATATTTTACCTGGAAAACTGTCCTTCAACAAGAGGGAGAAGTGAGCTTAAAGGACGGCTCAGTGGGCAAAGGCACTTGCCACCAAACCTGATGACCTGAGTTTCGCTCCAAATCTCCCTTGCTGGAAGGAGAGAACTAAGTCCTGCAAATTGTCTTCTCACCATGTCCATGTGCTGTGACACGCATATGACTCCCACACCCCCAAATTGAATAGATAAGTGTTAAAAGGGTTTCATAAGAGGCAAGTACCTAGCTTCACCTTTCAGAACTTGTCAAAGGAGCTAATTGATAAATAAATAAATACAAATATATAGAATTCAATAATATAAGTCATATGTAGTCATGCTTAGAATACTATAATGGCAAAATAGAAGGAAAACTTATCTATAATATAAGGTTTAAAAGAAAAACGTATTTTTAAAAACTACACCTACAATTAACTATTATAGTAAATGTTACAAAAATATGCAAATTGGAATTAACTCTAATTTCTTGAGCCTAAAGGAGTTGCCGATAGTCATTAAAAATTCAAGGAATGTTTGTGGATGGAAAAGTGAATTGTTAAATGAATGACATACTCACCTTTTAGTAATGGCCCCATAAGGCAGTTGTATGATACAGCTTGGGTACCCAGGTTAATGGTTCAGTTTTACTTTATTCTAAAAAAGCCACTTCTTGTCCTGATTTTGATGTGACCGTCTATCAAGGTGGTCAATATTCAATCACTTAAGGAACTCATGGGCAAAGCGCATCACAAGTAATTATTAGTTGTGGTTCCTCACAGGAGTGTTCATGGATTTGAGTTTGTTGGAAATCAAATGATTTAAAGAATATAGCTAGCAGTAGAGTGAGCTCTCTAGTCACATACTAAGTAGGGTCTCTGCCACTATGTTTTAGACAAAAGAAAGTGTTTGAGTCTTGGTCAGAATGTTTACAGAGACCTTTGCTCTTGTAGGTGTGTCTAACCTGGGGTCTGTGGGTCTCATGAGGCCAGGACATGTCTAACCTGGGATCTGTGGGTCTCAGGAGCCTGGAACGTGTCTAACCCAGGGTCTGTGAGTCTCATGAGGCCAGGACATGTCTAACCTGGGGTCTGTGGGTCACAAGAGCCCATAGAATATCTAACCCAGGTCTGTGGGTCACATGAACCCAGGTCATGTCTAACCCAGTGTCTGTGGATCACAAGAGCCCAGGACAGCTCTGAAATCAGCCCAACACAAAACCACAAACTCACTTAAAACATTAGTAGAGGTTCTTGTCATATTTTAAGTCCATTTAGCTGTTATGGAGCATGAACTCTGTAAATGATGTTGGCAAAATACTAAATGTCAAAATGGCTAGAAATGTTTGCAGGAAGTTAAACTGATCTTCCAGTGGTTAGTTCTATGAAACTTTTTTAGAAACATGCACATAAACATCCAGTCTATACTGACAGTATAGGAAAGGAGAAAGGAGAGTCACAGGGTCTCAAGGGAATAAACACATCCTTCGATCACACTTATGTGTCCTTGTATTTTTTCACCAGCTTTCCTGTTCAAGCCTTATAGTCAGAACCCTGACATCATTCTCTAATGACATTCTTTAACTTGTTCAGATATCCCCATTCTTCTTGAGACGCGGTAGTGGCTAGACATGGCGAACGTTTGCCAGAATAAAGGGTAGGTAAGACTTCTAGGAAACAACCCAGAAATCAACAGATGGTGCCCTAACGGCCAGAGGCATCACTGACACAGCTGTGCTGAACTTCAAGTGGGCTTGAAGATGGCTTCGGATAGAGCTTTGAAGTTGTATAGGAACTAAACTGATTTCTGGGTCAGCACGCAGAGCTGCCAGTTGGTTGTCAGCCAGGTCTCACGGTAGGTTGTGTTGAGCTAATCAAACTGCTATAATCCCACCATCATTAGAAGCAGTAAAATGGAGGGAACAAAATGAGTAAGGGTGTTTACATCATTTTAGCTGAAAAAAATCAGGAATATGGATTGATGGGGTGGGGTAGAGCAGGAAAAGATATTGTCAACTTTATTCATTTGGCTTGATAGTACTAAACCAAGTAGCTACTTGGAGCAATTATGTATTCTTACTGCCACCCTGTGGCCATTTGGAAGAACTACATATTCCTCCTAATTTCAGCCACCCTTTGAAAATAAAGCATTTGGCGTGATCAGGCCTTGCTCTAATTTCCTCAAAATTGCATAACAACTTACATCTGTACAGAATTTTAACAGGCTTCCTAAAGAAAGAGTGACCAGGACCATGGCGGGCTGGCTCAGTACAGAAGTGGATAGTCGGTGATGAAGTTAGAAGATTCTCTGGTTCGTCTGTTCAAGGCTGTGCTTTCCTGAAGTTATTGTCAGGCTTTCAGCAAAGTGTGAAAGCAAGCCATAAGTACCGTGTAACGGGACCTTTTATCTTAAGGCTTGTTACTTTTGTTTATGCTCTGGAACATGTGTTTAAGGATTCAAAGATGTGTTTGGTTGAATAAAATTCACCTGCGGTCAGGAGGCTGGGTCAGCAACTAGCTGACAGGAACTTATAGGAAGGAGCCAGGTGGAGAAGGATTTATAAGGAGGGGTGAGAACGAGCACTTCATGGGAGACTGGAAGAGGTGAGGTAGGTGGGCTGCTGCCTATTCAACCTCTCTGGGAAGTGGGATTCTATCTCGACCTTTGAGTCTCAGAGTTTTTTAGTGGGAAAGAGATTTAAATGAGTTTTCTTAGTAGGTTTGAAAGAGTCGGTGCCTGAGGGAACAGTTACTGAGCAGGAAACAGCAATTAACTACAGGGCATCACCTAGGTAAGCCACAGCCATGTGGAGATACACAGATTAATAGCAATGGATTAATAATTAAGAGAAAGCGAGCTAGTCAGTAAGAAGCCCAAGCCAATGGCCAAACAATTATAAATATGTGTTAAGTCTCTGAATAGTTATTTCATGAAGCAGCTGTGAGACCTGGTAGGTGGAGAGAAAACAGATCCAGTGGGGCCTGAGATAGATGGAGAAAATTTCCTTCTACACTTGAACACTAACACTGCCATCCTGTGACCACAGTTTCTGCAAGTAGATTGAAGACAATGGGTGGCAGTCCTAACTGCTGGCGGAGGAATTTCTAACACTCCTTTTAGTGACTCCAAGGCAGGGAGGCAAGGAGACTGGTGATTAGGCAAATGAATTCCCTACACACGGGCTGTATCTCTCCTGTTGTTAAAGGAGGGTCGCTCCCACATACCTTTGTTCTTTTGTTCCTGAAGACGGTTTGCAGCGTGCATGAAACTCAACTTCTGGAAAATACGAATGGTCTTTGTCACCGCAGCCACTGGGCCTGCACTCTCAATCAGTTGTTCAGCTAACTCTGTCCTGTTTGTCGCCTCCTCCAGTTTGCTCCTCGAGATCTTAAACTCATCTGGGACAAAGAACTTGAACCGTTGCAGTTCCTCCTCCTTGATTTCATCTAGGCCGGTCAGCAACAGTATCTCTCTATATTCACTCTCCATCCCACAGTCTGGAGATCAGCCTGAAACAAAACCTCAGCCATAAGATGGCAGCGCTGTAAACAAGTCTGTATTCAGGATACTCAAGGTGAGTGCTCCACAGAAAATATCCAAGATGGCCACTTTGCAGCAAGACAGAACTGGTGAAGTATGAAAAACAAATCCCTGTGCAAGAAGGTGACCAGTGTTGGAAAAGGGCACCTCCAATGTGCATGTGATGCCTCAGGAATTCCTAGAAGGTGGTTCTGTGTTCCTGAGCCCTCTAAGGCAGATTTGTAGAGACAAATGACATGTGACACAGTGTGTGTATTTCAGGCATATAATGAGAAGCTTTGACACACATATACATGAAATACAACTTGCCAGTCTATTCACTAGTGAACAACATTTTGGCGTTCCATCTTTTCAAATTCAAGATCAAGACTTTTCTCCCATATTCCCGTATTATTCTCTAGAGATTTTAAATGTCATCTATTAACTTCTATATCTATGACCTATTTTGGATTCTTTTGTATATGGTATGAAATGTTGAGAAGATCCTGTTGCTCACATGACATGAATTTTCCCATAATCTTATCAAAAAGACCATGTCTTCTCCATTTGCTTCTGCCAAAAATCACTTTCCAATATATGAGTTGGTCTAGTTAAGGAATCTTGCCAATTCATTAGTTTATCTCACTATTAATTTTGGATGCATGTGATATTTTGAATGGGAACATTCAGTGAAATGATGATATCAACCATGTCAATTCATATCCAAACCCTACCTAAAACTTCAAAGGATGAATCTAAAATCTACATGACAATGTAAGGACAGCAATATACAAAGTAAGTTAAAATAGTCACCAAGAAACACTGCTTACTACCTACAAATACTGTTAGAAAGATGCAATAATTAATAAAATATCATAAGTAGACATAAGTCATCATAAAATCATAATCACTTGTAATACAAAAGGACATGGTATGTAAACAATGTTGTAAGATATTTGTACGCTGTGTGAAGATGTGATGCTATGATTGGTATAATAAAATCTGAATGGTCAATAACTAGGCAAGAGAGGATAGGTGGGATTTCTGGGGGGAGACAGGAAGAGGAGGAAGAATCTAGGCATGAGGTATTGTCAACAGACTTGGAACAAGTCAGACATGTTGTACTGAGAAAAGGTAAAAGGAGAATGTAGATTAATAAACAAGGTTAACTAAGTTATAAGAGCTAGTTGGAAACAAGTCCAAGCTAAAGGCCAAGCTTTGGTAATGAATTATCAGTCATGTTGTTAACTGGGAAACCAAAGATATTCTGACAAGAAATCTTGATATAATGTATCATGTATACAAAGAGACATGGCATGGAACCAGTGTGCATAGATCCCAAATAAAGAATGATCAGCAATAATACCAGTGGCACAGGCACTGAGATCGACAATTAACAAATGGGACCTTTTGAAACTAAAAAGCTTCTGTAAGGCAAAGGACACAGTCAAAAAGACAAAAAGGTAGGCCACAGAATGGGAAAAGATATTCACTAACCCTACATCTGACAGAGGGCTAGTCTCCAAAATTTACAAAGAACTCAAGAAACAAGTCTCCAAAACACCAAAGGATCCAATTAAAAGGTGGGGTACAGAGATAAATAGAGAATTCTCAGTAGAGGAGGCTAAAATGGCCAAGAGACACTTAAGAAAGTGCTCAACATCCTTAGCCATCAGGGAAATGCAAATCAAAACAACTCTGAGATACCATCTTACTCCTGTCAGAACGGCTAAAATCAAAAACATTGAAGACAATTTATGCTGGAGAGGATGTGGAGAGAGAGGAACACTCCTCCACTGCCTGTAGGAGTGCCGACTCATACAGCCTCTTTGGAAATCAGTATGGAGATTCCTCAGGAAAATGGGAATTAATATACCACTAGACCCAGCAATTCCACTCTTAGGCATATATCCAAATGAGGCAAGTTCATACAACAAGGGCATCTGCTCCACTATGTTCATAGCAGCATTATTTGTAATAGCCAGAACCTGGAAGCAACCTAGATGCCCCTCAACTGAAGAGTGGATAGAGAAAATGTGGTACATTTACACAATGGAGTATTACTCAGCAGAAAAAAACAATGGAATCTTGAAATTCGCAGGGAAATGGATAGCACTGGAAGAAACCATCCTGAGTGAGGTAACCCAGTCACAAAAAGACAAACATGGTATGTACTCACTCATATATGGATTTTAGACATGGATCAGGATAGTGCCAGTCTGCACTTCCACTGATAGAGAGTCTGGGAAACAGGAAAGAACCTAAAAGATATGCATATATGCATAGTACCCAAGAGAAGAGGATGGAGACAAGATCCCCTGAATGGATGGGGAACATGGCGAGGGGTGGGGGGAGTGGGACCTGGGAAGAAGAGAGGGGGTGAAGAGGAAGAGAGTTGGTCATGGGGGAACAGGAAGTTGAGGGGGTGGGGGTAGAATAGGGGGAAGAGGGAATCATAGGATCGAATACAGATCAGGCACCAGAGCGACCTCAAGTGATCTAAAGGGATAACACCAATTGGCAAGCTAAGCAATAGTGGAGAGACCACCTCGAATGCCCATTCCTGATAATGAACTTGATGTCTATAACCATCCGGGAGCCTTCATCCTGTGACTGATGGAAACAGAGGCAAACACACAATTAATCACTGAACTGAACCCAAGGAACCCAGTGACAGAGAGAGAGGAGTGATGAGCAAATTGGCAAAGAATGGGCTGGCAAAACCAGCAAAGACAGCTGATCTGAACAGGGGAGAGCTCTTGGACCCCAGACCGACAGTGGGGAGGCCAGCATGGGACTGATCTGGACCCCCCCAAATGTGAGTGTCAGCGAGAAGGCCTGGGCAACCTATGGGGCCCTGAGCTGTGGATCAGTGTCTATCCCTGGTATACAAACAGTCTTCGTGTGCCTATAGCACAAAGAGGGATGCTCTCTCAGCCTGGACTCTTAGGGGAGTGCCTGGACCCTACCCAGAGTAAAATGACAGACTCTAGATATCCCCTATGTGGAAGGATTTGGCAATAGGGTGGGAGGGGGGGGAGGGGAGTGCGGGAGGAGGGGAGGGAGAGGGAACTGGGATTGACATGTAAAACAAGCTATTTAAAATTAAAATAAAAAATGATAAAAAAAGAATGATCAGCAATGAGAGTTGTTCAGAAAAACATGTGGTGAATACAACACTTAACGTTTATCTGATATCAAATACAAAAGACATATGCACCTGAGTTAAATACCTAAAAAGCAATAGTCATACAGTTGAAAAAATGTTTTTTTCTTTACTTTACATTGAGTAAAAGTTTAAGAAGCAATGTACATAAAGGACATATTGCAGCAGCAAGACTGTATTACATTTCATTGAATACATATTCTAAACTCCCTTTGTATTCTTCTATCATATGTTACATTCTGACTGCAGCCTCCCATCTCTCTCCTCCCCCAAGTCTCTCCCCACTAAATTTCCTCATAAGAAACACAAAGCAAACGTCAAAAAAAAAAGGCCCCAAAGTGGGAAGATACTACCTTGAGTGTCCATAATTAATAAATGCTTTGTTTTCAGAATATATGAAAAACCACATCTGTAAGAAAATTATTGACAGCCTAGGTAAAAAGTGCTCAAAAGACATGAATAAGCAACTTGCTTCCATAGCTAATGAAGATGTGTAAGAATATGTTTGACATTACTAATAATTATTTACTTGGGAGAAAACCAGGTAGAGGATGTCATGAGAGGGAAACAACTAGCCAAAGACCTTAAGGGTACCCACCAGTGTGGCTAGTGTCACTGAGCTATAAAAAGTATGGTTAATGTGGCCTTACTATTGTTCCTGACAAAGAAAAGACTGGGCAGGTAGGAAGGGATGGAGTGGCTCTACTTACATGGGTGTTGCTCATACTCTATGCCCGAAACTACCATCAGCATCCTTACCACCCTAAGAAATACACCCAAAATAGCCACAGTGATAACTACAACAGTGTAGCAGTCTTTTTGACAGCACCAAGGAAGGAAATCTCTTTTGGCTTAGTATATGTAGCATGCTAATCATATCAGCATGCTTCCTGCTGGTCTGTTTGAAATGTTTATCTTCCTAAACTCCTCTTCGATACAAACATAATTGCATTTAATCACAGTTTATTTGAAAAATTAGGACACTGATTTCTCTGAAGATTGTTTACCTTATTCATGTACAGTTTGCATTTTATTACACAAGTCTACTTGAAAAGTTTTAAATTATTTGTTGGGACCAAATGAAACTCAGTAGTAGAGCATATGACTACTATGCAGGAGGCTCTGGGTTCATTGGCAAACACGAAAAGAAAAAAAAGTGAGGTATTGTTGGAGGGTGGGTTGTATGCAAAGGAAATGCATTCGAGTCTGATTGGCAGCCTCAAGGTCAACAGTAGGTGCAGCTGTAATTTGACAGTGCTATGCCACGCACAATGCATATTCAAAGTGCTTGCACCAGGAGCCTAGATGGAAAGAAAAAAAAAAGCATATAGGCAGGACTGACTTATCTTTAAATTAGGGAGGTTCCTGTCACCACACAGAGGCAGCCAGTATGGCATACCTGAAAAACATCAGCTACACAGCAATTGTAGGTTAAATTTGGTATTTAAAGTGGAATGTCTTACCTGATGCCACACAGCTTGTAAAGTAGATGGTTCAACCTCAAGTCTCCTAAATGCAATCCCTTTTCTCTTTCTTTTGTTAAATGCCTTCTTATTTTTCGAAGAATGTGAAATAGGACCTTTAAATTTAAAAAGATTATATATATTAATTATATATATAGATTTACTGGGTATGATTTGAAGACACCCAATCCTTAATTACCTATATCTAACTCACTGGCAATTTTAATAATAATATACTAATTGTCATGTTTTTCCCTCGCTGAAACCATTAATCTGTCTTCACAGGGTGTCTGCATAACTGAAAACCCAGCCTCTGAGGATTTCTGTTCAACCTTCCATGGGTACATTTTATGAAATAGGACCTGGTCCTGTTCCTCTCTGTTATCACACACTGTTCCCTTTCTTCTCTACTTATCTACTCAGAATCCTGTATTTTGTGTTTGTGTTTTAGTTCACATTCTGTGCTGGAATGAAAGTGGCTTGTGGGCCAGGGCTCCACTGTTCATTTCTGCAGTCCTAGTTCCTAAAATATCATCAGAGATATAACAAGTATTCACTAAAAATTTATTGGGTGAGTTGGCTAGGCTTCTCTAACTAAAAACACAGTTCTAGGCATCTCCATGTTCTGAGCTGAACTGGGGATGCATTTGGTTTGACTAAGAAGCCCAGTTGAAAGACAGAACAAGATGGTAGCCAAATAAAGACCCCAAGCAACCTTCTTCCCATGGTCACACAAACTTTGGTCAACTGTTCACAGTCCAAACTACCCTCCTCAAACCCAAAGAAGTCATTTGAGAGACCATTACGTTAGATTTGTTCATGGTGGCATTCTTTCAGGTCCATGAGTGTGGAGCTCAGAGGGACGGTTTTAAACTCAGTTCCAGGCCATCACGGTGAAGCACTGCCCTGGGGTAGCCTGAGCAACTGGAACTGTGTTAGCCAGACTGCCGATCCCCTCTAGCTCTCCTCCTTAGATCTGGCTGGGGCAGAAGGATTCTGGAAGAGGACTCCAGTCATAGGCAACAGGGCACAAAAACTAGCCCAGAATTCTGCTTACTATAATGGGAACTGGTGGCAATCAGAAAGGGAAATCCTTTCCAGCCAGGCCACAGTTTACAGATGAAGTCTCCCAAATGGCACTGGCATTAAACAGCTGCCTGCATGCCAGTGAGGCAGACTCAAGTTTGGCTTTATTGTTGTCAGCCTTGAAGTGGGCAAAGGACACATTCCTACTCAGACTGCATGGTCTTCTCTGACTGTGAGACTCAGGTATAATGGCGCCCTTGCTGGATTCGAGGCTTGGGCATCAGTTATCTTCAAGTTAGTGTCACCAGAAAGATCAGCAAGATGTGGCTATCGCCAAACAGAGACTGTGTTCCCGCTGGCATGGAGCCATATTTTGGCCTGTGCTTCTACTGGTGTGCCACAGACCTGGGTGCACTCAGAATGGGTGAATTCGCCAGCAGATGTGCAGAGAGAGAGAAACAAGTCAAAGCTAACTCTGCCCACTGCCAGTTACAGACCCTTGCAGCCCTTTCAGGAAGTGGCTGTTGAGCGAGGTAACAAATGAGAATACAGTTGTGTTCCAGAAGCTAAGAAAAGATCATGCTTAAAGTAAACAAAGAACCAACCCTGTCTCTTTTGCTTGTTTGCTTTGTTGGAATGCTAGGTAAGGTGAGGACTACAGATCTGTCATGGAAGTAGCCATGTGAGGTTAGTGGTGACAAGTAGAAGGACGGGGATGGGCGGATGGAAAGCAAACCCAACTCTTGCTGTAAAAGGGCCAAGAAAATGTGACAGAAGACTGAGGCCAGGCAGGAAATGGAGAAAGTAATTTGTACATGTGTGCTTGCTAGCTTGCTTGCTTGCTTCTCTGCCATGGAAGAAATTAAGACTGGTTCCACGCTGATGAGAATGATCTAGAAGGGGGCGGTGAACTGTGGTACAGAAGAACAAAAGGGAAACTGTGTGAATGAGCCTTAAGATGATTCCTCTGCAGCACACCTCCTGAAACAAAGGAAGCCCACTCTCCATTTCCTGCACCTGATGTCAGCTGTGCAGGACAGACGCCCACCTTCCTCATGCCAAGAGTTCTGAATTCTTCAAGGATTTCCAACTGTGTTCATTTGCTGCCTACGGCTGACAGCTACATAGCTAGACAGACACAGACTCGGATCCTGGCTCTGCCATTTGCTAGCTGTGTGACATCTGGTAAATTACAACCTTCTAAAGTGTCTACATCCTCAAGTGTAAAGCAGAGGAGAGGTGATCAGAACCGTTGAATAACTACTGTTACAATGCCACGCCGCGGAATCAAGAACATGTAACAGAATGATGTATGAGGAATTACTCCGTCAAAGTCAGCTATGAATATAAAAAAATGATAGACAGCCTTCAGAGGAAGTGCTGTTTTATAACGAATAGCAGTCTTACCCAGAATGGGAGGTGATGGCTTGTATTTGAAACTGGAAAAAGAAGACTGACTGGTGTTCTTCTAAAACTGTGTTTTGAAAAAGACAGAGGAGGAAGAGCAGAAGGGAATGAGGAGGTTAAAGCTTGAAATCTTGCAAGTTAAAGAGAAATTGCTGGCTCCTTTTCTGGGCTAAATCAGAGGGCTTAGGGGCAGATGTGGCAAGTCTTACATGGTGGGAGAAAGGGCATTTACTTAGAGACTCCCAGTGCTGTATGAGGATTTAAGTCAATAAGCTGCTGAGCTACTGCCCTAGAAGGTACCTTGGGGACCCTGCAATAGGAACTGCAGAAAATGTCAGTCTCCTAAAAAGGCTGGCAGGAAATCTTTAAGACAGATTGAAGCTCAAGAGAAATGAATCCAATCAAGAGACTCCGGGGGACAGAGCTGAAGTCACAGTAAAGGAAATGTCTACTTTCCAAGGGGATGTCATTTGCTCAGGTTCAAATCCTCAGAGGATGAGCAGTGTGTCCAATCCCCCAGTCTTCTTTCCATGTGGATAAACCATAAAGTCACGCTGATCACTCTACTTCACTTCTGATCCCTGAGTGCTCAAGCATGTGCTGGCCTCCATCAGGCACATGAAGCAGTTTTACAGTACCACTACCCTCTAGGCCCCAAGGCACCATGAAGATTGCCAGGTTGCCAGGTCCATGGTGGGTAGGATCCAGATAAATCAGTTGAGATAGTCTTCCTTTCATTGCTACCAAAAAAGTAATTCTTGTAGACACTTCCTGTTGATTCACTCTAAAGTTACAGTGACTCAAAGACAGAATCAAGAGACTGTAAAAAATGATAACAGAAGAATTCCTGATACTTGTGTAGCAAATAGACTTAAGGTAGCACTTGATTTCTGATACGTTCTCACCATGTATAGAGGGTAAAAGCAAGACTGAGATCTTAAGGTCACTCCAGTGTACAAAAATGTTTGTCTCTAAAGCCTATGCTATATGAGAGCATGTGACCAAAAACTAAAACCTAACTAAAATAAAATCAAAGATCAAAATAAAAAAAATTGCTGATCTCAGAGGGCAACAAAAATATGCAAAAAAATCCTCCATCACTACTCAGACTCTTGCCCCAAGTGTGAAGCTGTTGACGTGAACATTTGTTTCTAATTCAGTGGATCAGATGTGATAGTATAATGAGAAGGTTCTAGGTGTTGAGTAGCTACTTGAAGTCAAGGAAGTGGAGGTGGGATTTGAAACATACAGTAACAACTTATGAGAACAGTTCTAACAGAAGCAAACTCCAGAAGCCACGAGGGTGGATGAAGAACATCTAGCTATGCCCTGTGATCACATAATCATCCAGGAAACGTAGGACCCCTTTTATCTCTCACTGCAAGACTCACTGCATACATCCACAGATGTACTCTCAAACAGGACCTTACCAATGAGCCATCACTGTACAGAAACTCTGTACCCTTCCCTGCATTACCATCTGAAAAACTATCCGTATTCCTTCTGTGTTCTGACTCTAACTACTAAAATTTAAGGCCTCTGATAATAGCCATTGTCCTCTTTGCTGACTGAACCCATGTCAGTTAACGTGGTGCATGGTACACAGAAAGTGTCTAAAATGCATGTGTTTAATGAATGAGTAATATATGCAAGACTAGAGGGTACTCTGATGCTCTGGTGGTTAAACTCAGTTTTCAACTTGAGATCTAGAACCACAGGGATAGGGACCTCTGGGCAGCCTGTGGGAAATTATTTTGATTAAGGTGACTGATGGGGGGAAGACATGACCACTCTAGGTGGTGCTTGAATGTAGATACAATGTGATCAGCTACCTCTCCTGTCATTGTCACTTTCCTGACATGATGGACTGTGACTCCAAACTGTGAGCCAAAATTAAACCTTTGTTCCCTAAGTTGATTTCATGGGAGAATTTTCTTACAGCAATGGGAATTTGTTACAGCAATAGAAATTTTATGACCCCAATGGAAAAAAGAAAAGGTGCTTAAAAGAAAGAGACAAAGCTAAGGGTTAAAGAAAAACAGGCAGTCAACAAGAGATTTAAACAGATATTGCAACAATGAAGCTATATCGACAAATGTGACAATGAAAGGATTAACAAAAAATATTTTAGACACACATTATGAATATAGTATCAGAGACCCTTTTAAAGTTAATGAGGTGTTAAAGAATGCAGCTGAAGAACACTTTGTAAAAGCATAAACGGAAGACAATGGAATGGAGAGAAGAAAAAATAAGAAATTTAGACTGTGCACTAACATAAAGAATGACTACCTAGTACATATTCACACAAGAGTGAGCAGAGAAAGTCGGGGAAATAGAAATACTGTCTAGGGTCAGAGATATAGCTCAACAGAAGAGCTCCAGCCCAGCAGAACAAAGTCCAGGGGAGAGCCCCCTATCCTTCCAAACAAATAAAATGTGGTCCAGTTGGGTGGACAAGGGGACCGTAGAGGCACATTCTTTTGTCTTGGGTTTTAGATTTTTTAAAAATAAACTTTATTTTTAAAGCAGTTTTATGTTCACAGCAACAGGGCCGAAGGTACAGACAAGCCCTGTGCCCCTATCCACCTTATACACACAGTGTCTGTTATTACCATCACTCCTGACTGGATTTGCTGGGACTGAGACAATGACACAAAGTTCATATCAGGCTTTGATCCTG